TAGCCAGGCCAGTAAGGCGTGCATCTTGAGTCCTGAAGTTTCCTTGAAATAAGGGGGTTCCTGGGCACCCCTGGAATTGGCATATCTGATTTCTCTGGTTCCTCTCTCCTGTGAAAGAGGGAGGAAGGCCCAGCGCTCTCCCAGAAAGCAGCCCCCACCCCTTCTCTTACTGCTGCATGGGGGGCTCTCCTCCCTGTGGGCTTTAACAGTCTTCCCCACCAGTCAGAACTCCCCAGGGCAAGGACTGGAGGTGCCTAGGGAAACTTGGTAGACCCCGTCTGGGACTGGCAGGTAGTAGGTACCTGGGGAGGGTTTACTGCTGCTGAACCCAAACACCTAGATGCCTTCCAGCCAGCCTTTGACGGCTGTGGGGCCTGGTACTGTCCAGAGCTCCCCCGCCCCATCGCCTGCCCCCTCCCAGCTCCAACTTGAAGCCTAAAATGCAAAGTGACTTCTACAAAGTCAGTCACTTTCCTGGATCTAGTTGGTCAAAGAAGGCCGGGTGGGGTCTAGGGCAGAGGTTGTCGCCCTATATATGCATTAGTCTCACTGGACTCGCTCGGCAGCTGTAAAAGTCCTGAGCCTGGGCCTCACCCCAGACCAATCAGATCAGAAACTCGGGATGCGACCCAGGCCACAGGACTCTGTAGAGCTCCCCTGGTGATTTGAATGTGTAGCCAAGATTGGAACCACTGGCTGGGCCAGAGCTTCTCATGAGCCACATGGGGGTCTATTCAAATACAGGGTCTGTTTCTGGTAGGGCTGAGGGGGGCTGATCATTTGCATTCCTAACATGTTCCCATGGGATGCACTGCTGATCTGAGAACCACTCTGGGTAACAAGGGTACAGAGAGCAAAATGCTCCTGCCTCCCTAGCCCCAGCCTGGGCTCCACACTAGTTGGGGGAGGGGAAGTGAGGAGTACAATAAAGTGGTCTAAGTGTGGACTGATGACCCCTGATGACATGCTTCAGGGCCTGGGATCCTGAATGATTCCAAAAGTCCTTCTGAATCACCACAGCTCCATCTGTGTTGCCTCTCCCAGTATGTCACTGGGAACATCCAAGAATCTCCCATTCCTTCTGGAAGTTCATCCATAGCCTTACTCACCCTCCTGCCCTCCAGACTGCAGTTTCCAGCTGCTTCCACTTGCCTGGCTCGTGGCCCCTCAAACCCAGCAGGTCCTAGGCAACTCCCCATGTACCCCCAGACCTGCTCCTCCCACGCTCCCGTCACAGGGAAGACTCATCCACCCATGCTCTCACCCCAGCCTCTTCCTCTCTCACCTCGTTCTGCTCCCCACTCACCCTCCTACACAGCCCTCAAAGCCACCCACGTGCCCTCCTTGCCCATCACTGCCCTGATTCTGCCTCAATTCTGCAATGGTCTCCTGACTGGTCCCCAGCCTCCGTGTTCACCACTTTGTGTGTTTCCATCTTCTCCCGCCAATGGACTCCTTGGGGCACACAGTGGATCTTAACTGTGTGCGGGGCCTGCCACACAGTAGGTATCTGAAAAATGCTTTCTGCACGGAGGAATGAATCAGGGGACACGTCTGCAATGGTCTCCTGACTGGTCCCCAGCCTCCGTGTTCACCACTTTGTGTGTTTCCATCTCCTCCCGCCAATGGACTCCTTGAGGCACACAGTGGGTCTTAACTGTGTGCGGGACCTGCCACACAGTAGGTATCTGAGAAATGCTTTCTGCACGGAGGAATGAGTCAGGGGACACAGTGTCCAGTCGTGGTTCTGTTACACTCGCTCACGGTGATCTTGGGCAGACTTTCCCTTGCTAGGCTCACTCTCCTCATCTGAAGATGGTACCCAATGACCCTAAAACACCAGTTCTGAGAACCCAGTGAGAGGAGTTGCTACTCTCTCGCGTACTCCTCCCCGAAGGCCCAGGTGGGACGACTGAGATGGCTGAGTGTCCAGGCTGCTCTGTGGCTGTCCTCAGCACAGGGGTGACAAGGTAAACTGAGATTAGACCCTTTTTTCTTTTGCCCTCTCCTCCCCTTCACCCCATGACCTTTCCTGAACCTTGAATTCCTGGGTCTTAGAAGGATCAGCACCTGCCCCACCTGCAGCCTCTTGCTGTGTAAAGTGGGGTCCATGGACCAGGGAGCTCCTCAGAACTACAGAACGCTGGTAACAAGATGCCCAGGGGCTCCTCCCATACATGGAAGTTTGAGAAGCACTGATCTAGAAATAGTGATGAGGACAGAAACAAAGGGCGAGGGAGCAGGGAGAGGGAGAGGGCTCCTCCTCACATTCCACACCCCAGCTCACATGAAGCCTGTCCCTGCCCCTGCTACGCAGAGGTCCTCCCTCCTCCCACCCCATGCTCTGTCACATCACCCACTATTTCCTTCATGCACGTGCTACTCTAGATTCTGTCTCCCCTCCCCTCAGCAGGACAGACTCTCATGGAGCTGGAAGCTCATCTCTCTGATTCAGGGCTGAGTCGCTAGACCCCAGCACATGGCAGG